GGGCATGACTGATGCCTGACTCCATGCAGGGCTTTCAGGGAGGGCAACATCAGAGTGCAGATTCACTCATGCAGTCAGGGATCAGGAGTGAGGTGCTGTACAGACCACAAACAAGAATGATCCCTAGCCCAAACCCCTCTCGAGCTGCATTAGAGTTCAGGTGCAGAGAATAAATACTGGCAGGTATAAGCCCAAAGACACAACCCACCAGGACTGGCTGCCTTAAGAGATGCAGCATAATGGCAGCCTAATGCTCACAGTTCTCAGAGGCACCAAGAGCTGTAAAGCAGGATGGAAAGGCTAGCAGAAAAGCATCCCTAAGGAAGGCAACACAAAACAGGCCCCTCAGGAGTGGGAATGTGAAAGCAAGGAGTTTGTTTGGAAAAGAGAAGAGCCACTTAACATAGCATTATGGGACAGCTGGAGGCAGAAATGAACCTCTAGGTATGACAGGCGAAATTCCCTATGAATAAAAAGAACTCCCTGGACACAGTCACTCAACAGTGCATGCAGCACTGACCATGCAGGGTCACAACCAGCATGACTGGAGATGGACAGCTAGAACTTGCCAGCCAGAACTGCCCACTAGCACAGGAGCAGCACAAAGGGCGGAGGCAGAGCAGTGCAGATGCTGCTGCCTTGTGGGACAGGGAGCAGATTCTGAAATGCATGCGATGTAGCAGGAGCAGGAAGAGGGAAAGCAGACTTTTCTTGCCCTCCAGCCTGCTGGTGCATGCCCTTGTCAGTCCTTACACGTTGCATTTCCTGGGCAGAGCGTAGCCCTCCAGGCCCGGGCGCACCGCGATGTTGCTGATGGTGTTGCGGCAGCTGCGGCACTGGATGGTGATTTTGGTGGCTTTGGCTCTCACAGGGGTTGCTGCAATTACAATCCCAGGGATCTTCACAAGGTGGGACATCTGGTCAGACTGAAAAGGGAAAGGTGAAGGGAAGGTGAGAAAACCATCAATGGAAGATGGATGGGAAACTACAAAGCATGAGAACAAAGGATGGAACACTGTGCAGAACCTCACTAACAGCAATAATGTCCCTGCAGTAGCAACCAGCAATAACAGCCCTCTGCAGCCTTTAAGCTGCAGAGTAATGCTGCTTGTAAATTAGTGAGTGACCTGTGTCCTGAGCCATGTGACCAGGTACCAAAAACTCCTCTGCTATAACCCCCACACAGACACTCTCTGTGTGGCAGCCATTCACTTCACCTCACCTTCAGGCTACGGATGTTGGCTGCATTGGCATCCGACCTCAGCATCACCTGGATGTCTTGGAGAGTCTCCTCTCCTGAGGGACGAGGACGAGTGACCTCATCTGCGACTTCTTTTGCTGCTTCTTCCAACTAGAGAGGGAACAATGGGCTATCAGTGGGTCTGTCACAGCAGAACATCAGAGCTGCTCTCCTGACAATGTTCTAGGTTGCCAACCTCCATCCTTACCAGCTGCAGGTGCTCTGCTGGTTGCTTGTACAGATAGTCTGCAAGGTCTTCATCAAAGCTGGCCAAGTCTTCCATCTCCACCTCCACCCAGTACTGCCCCAGGTTGTAGTGCCGTTTGAGCTCATCCCTGGAAGACAGGAAGCAGCTAAGGTTTGCAGGGCAGAAAGCACCAGTCACCCACAGTGGCCTTAGAACAAGGAGGGATCAGAAAAGGCAGGTTCTGCAGGAAGTCCTTGGTTTGGAAAGAAAGTAGGACGAATTAGGTGAGTTCCAGGAGAAGTGCAGGGGAACCTGGGCAATCTCACCCAAACCCACTTTGAAAGGTGACATAACACCAGGAACACCGGTGCTGGCAGTGGCAATGTAAAGTATTTGCTGAAGTTACATGTCCAAATAAACAAAGAGAAAATTTCTGTGTAGGATATTAACTCCTATATGTAAGATGTGGTTTAAAACAAAGGAAGTAATAACAGAACAGACAACATTTTTTTAAGAAACACCAGGACTAATGAAATTCAGATGTGAAAGGCTGTTCTAGCCCTTGATTATGACGTATCTCCATGTTTTCTTAATGTTGTGTCTCCAAACTGCACAGGCAAAGGGTGGCCAAAGGAACTTCATAGACTTGGAAGACACGGAGTGGTGCACTGATTTAATGGATACAGACAGTTCTCCAGACCAGAAAGCACTACAACTTCCAAGACAGATCTTGAATCTCAGAACTAAGTGCAAGCCTGGCAGTGTGGATCCCTCTACTGCTACCTTTTCCACTGGCTGGCTGTCTAAATATTTGTGAGAACACCAGACCTCTGCTTTTTTCTCAGGTTAAATATGAAAATTTATTAATACTGAGCTTTTTACGGCCTACGAGAAGAGACAAAGTGGCTATGGTGTATGCAGGGTGTGCACTGTAGAAAGGAGCTTAAGAACAGATTGGATGTGCAGGTGGGGATGGGAAAGGCTCAGAAGAACAAAAGAGCAACAGCAGCACCTGTATTTGAAAGTGAAGCCCGTCCGGTCCGTGCCCACCCGGTACTGCCGCAGGAACTCCTTGAACCGCTTCTGCAGCTGCGACTTCCGAACCTGCCCCTCGTCCACGGACGCATCTCCCCCAAAACTGTCGCTGTAGTAAATGCCGGGGTCATCGAAGCCGGACATCGCGGCTGCTGCTCCGCTGCGGGGGCGAGAGCGCTCGGTCAGCCCCAGCCGCCTCCTTCCCACGCCCCGCACCAAAGGCCCCGCGGGATCGGGACCCGCCGAGTGCCGTGCCCTGCCCTGCCCCGCACGGCACCGGCCGCGCTCTTTCCCCGCAATGCCCCAGGGACATCCCAACCCCAATCCCAGTCCCAGTCCCAGTCCCAGTCCCAGTCCCAGTCCCAGTCCCAGTCCCAGTCCCAGTCCCAGTCCCCTGCCGCTCCGCACCTCGCTCCCCGCCGGAACCCGCTGCCAAACTTTTTCGCGGCAAAAGCGGCGCGCGGCGGAAACCAAACAGGCGCAAAGCGCGCGAACCGCCTCCGCCGCCGCGCGCTCCGATTGGCCCTCCCGCCCCGCGCCGCCACTGATTGGCCAGAGCTCTCCGCTCCCCCCGCCCACCCCTAGCGCTGTGGCGCGAAATCTGGGCGCGAAGGGCGGGGGGAGGCGAAATGGCGGGCGGGCGGCACCATTGCGGTGGCGCGCAGAGGGGGAGCGGGTGATGCCACTGCGGGCTGGGGGAGCGGCCCGGGCGGTGCGGGAATAAAGTTAATATTTATATATAAATATATATAATTAATGCTGTAGGCTCCTGGGGCCCGTCACTGCTTCAGGGCCTCAGGACACGAGTTCTCCGGGATGCCTTCCTCCCGGCTATTAGGGAATTTAGAGGGAAGGCTGGCAGGTCGCTGGGTGCATATTGTGGCCCCTCCAAAGCGTGGTAATGCACACCCTAAATGAAGAGTAGGCTGGGAAACGCAGTTCATGGCAAGGAAGAGTTCAGCTGCAGCCCGTGGGAAATAAAGTTGGTGTCGTTGTTGCAGAGAAACCAGATGTATTCATATTGATCATAGATGGGTACAAACAAAGCCTCAGTCTCCACCTGTGCGGACTGGAGGCTCAGTCTGGGGTCTTCAATGCGTGACCACAATGGTTGTGAGATACCCAAAGCGCCATCTCTCTCCTGCCATGAACAGGGAGGGTATGATGCCAATCAGAATTCATATTTTCCAACATTGAGGATGCAGTCAGGCTCTCTGAGCAGTGGAGAGGGGCTGAGTGTGGTGCAGTGTGATTCTGAGCTCATGGGCTTTTGTTTGTCTCTGAGATCTTAGTTACGTCAGCGTGTTTGAATGAACAAAATAGTTTAGTTGGGGTGGTTTAGAGGAACTCAATAGGTAGAACTTAACTCTGAAATCTGAATGAACAAGTTCTTGTATTTAAATAGCTATCAAGCCTCATGTCCCTGCTTTTCAAACACCCGACTATCTTTTTCTATTAGTCGGTAGTACTGAGAATTAATTATTTTTTTCTGGCAAGTGGACCCAAAGAGAGAATTATTAAAGGGGGTTGGAGAAAGGATGCAGAGTAGAAAAGAGCCTGAGAATGATGACAGTCCCGTTTTCCTGCTGCTCATTCTCAGCAGGACCTGCCTTCTGATTCTTGTTCTTTGAGCAGGTTCAGTGCTGGTCATTAAAACAGAGCAGTAGGAACACGCATCTTTGGGATTAAGGTCACAGCCAGAACAGTCAGATCATGGAGACAGGTTGGTCACAGAGGCTTTCTGGTAGAAAGAGAGGACTCTGAGGTGACACCTCCACAGTTTTGTCAGTACCTGCAGTGCCATACCTGAACTGCAGCCTCTCCTGTGCTGGGAGAGCTCCTGGAGCAGGCAGGGCTGTGGCTGGACACAAAGCCAGCCCTGCAGATGTGCCTCACAATAGTCAAGGAAAGCAAGCTGTGTGCATGGGCTGCTCCAGCAGTGCTGTGTGTTTGCAGTGCCTTTAGCAATGCCACGTGTGTGCCAAGTCCTGGGAGTGGAGGGTTGGTTTGCCACTCGGTGAGGGCAGTGGTTGTGTACTTGATGCCTCCCATTCAGCTGCCTCGACCAAAACCTAGAATGCCTTTAACTTTTGGGTGGTGAAAACATACTTGCATTTCTGATTCACGCTGAAGTTCGTGCAATGGCAGCCTGGTAACACAGAGCTTTGCTGGCAGTTCAGGGAGAACTGTCCTGCTTTTGACCAGCTGAGGGTCCCATCACCTTTTGCTTGTGATAGAATAGCAACCAGCTGCTATGTACCACTTCCACCCCTTAAAAATACTTTGCACGCTCACTGAATTTCATGCTGTTTCTAGAAATAGAGAGTGGTGTGTAGGAGCCGAAGGAACCTGCCTCAGCTTATAACAGGTTATTGTTAGCACTGAGTGGGAGCTGAGTCTGGCTCTGATGATAGCCTCCACTTCTGTCAATTGTCATGTCTGTGCAGGCAGCAGCTCCAAAAGACACATAACCAGGAGGATGAAAGACACCTCCCTTCTCCCCGGGTAAGGCTTTAATAATAGGAAACACCAGGCCTCAAGACTTTACATTGAAATTTATTATGTGCATAAATTATACAACCAGACAAGAATGACACTCTATCTTCAACAACTTTTGTCTTTTGTTTTTAAAAGACCAAAAATGATTGGAAAAAGGAATAACAAAGACCTACTAGTGTCATGTAAAACCGTCTGTAACCCATGGGAGCCATGTGGCTCCACAGAGAAAGTGATCACAGTATTATCTAGCAGTATAAAAAAACTGAGCAAACAGAGCTCCTATGAGCTCCATCTTTCTAAGGAAAGACAGATGTCAAAGCTGTGTTTCTGATCCTGTAAGACTTTTGTAGGCACTCTGTAAAGCAACGACAACTCTTGGCCATAGTTTTCAGCCTTTTCTACCCTTGGTTTTTGGTGATAAAGTTAGTCTCTGAGAAGAGCTCACACTGAGCATAGGAGAGACTTTGCCTGAACCCACTTACAGCACTCTTTGATTTCTGGGGAGAAAAGTCTCCTAGTATTAGTGGCAGAACCAAGATCACAGTACCCAGTCCAGGATTTCTCTCACAAGGACTGGAGAAGGTGGATTAGTTCAGGGTGAGGGAAGTCACAGAGAGAAGGTGAAGGTCCTGCTTTTTCACATGGCAAATAAGCCCACGGCGACTGTCATGACGAGGAAGCTGAGCGCCACGATCCACCGCACCAGGGAAGTGGTGGGTGTCATGTCTGTGTTTCTCGTCTTTGTCCTCTCACTTTCCTTCCCAGCTGCTGGACCTAGAGCAAATAGGAAGAAAAAGCAAATAAGGACAACTGAGAAGAGGTTGTGGCAAGAAGCTGCTAATGTGCGGTGTTTGCACTCTGCAGTGCCAGAGCACACCCTGCTGGAGTCGTCCAGGGAAGAAGGAGAAAGCCCAGAGCCCAGCTGGGAGAAACAGTCTTCAGCACTCCAAGCAATTTCTTGGAGTGCTGAAGTTGGATTCCTCATCCGACACTGAAAATCTTGCTTGTATGCCTGTATTGGGAAAGGAATGGCAAAGTTTCACAGAGAACTTCTACTGCCTTTCCCACAGAAGCTGCTTTAGCTTCACTATCTAGAGATGCTTAAGGCAAGGTTTGCTTTTCATCTTTGCCATGGAAAAACTGTTGTTCAATCCAGAATGCACTGAATACAAATCTCCAATTTGGTTTCAGAATGGGTAGGCCATAAGGGTTTTTTTTATTTGAATTGCATGTCATCATGGAAACCGCTCTGCTCTGTAAACATCTGAGCTCGCTCCTCACTCAGGTACAAGCCTGACTTACAAGCTGATTACATTGCACCATCCAGAGCAATATAAACCCAGCATACTCTCTGGAGTGTTTTCAGCAAATACTTTTGGAAGGCAGAAAAATGATCAGAGTGAGATACAGTCCAAAAGGAGAGGTTGCTGGATAGGACTGTGTCCAGAAAAACTTTCTGTCAGCATCACAGCACCATGGCTGATCTGCAGCACCCAAAATTGATGCCTTTGCTTCTGTGAACTCAAGGTCAGTTTCCCCTGTGTTGAATGAAACTTAAATTTGTTAAAGCCCTAGAGAGGAGTCTATGTTTTTTAAACTTCCTCACTGACACTCTGGTGAGCCCACGTGTGTTACCCTTGCTCTGTCAAGTCGAGTAGAAGCTTTGCACACAGCAGTGCCTCTCCTTGCACTACCTGCTGATGGCTGGAGAAGAGATGAGGCAAGCACCTCATGCTTGTTTCCCAACAGCTTTTACAAACAAGAACAGAGGAAGGGAAGAGAATGAAAGGAAGGAGCTCTGTGAAGCACCTGCCTTTAGAAGTGTCTTACCATGCTCATGTGATTTGTTGATGTTCCTCGTGCGAAGCAGCTCTGCCTTTGGCTGCACAGGGTGACCATTCTCCTGGCCCTTGGACACCAGCTCCTGCAGCGCCTCGAACACCTGAGAAGAAGGAACACGGTCTCATTATGTGGCCTCCTGTTGTTCTTTCACTGGACCACTTGCCCCTTCCTCAGGCACTTTAGGAACTAGAGGAAGACATGAGACTTCAGTCTAGGCTTCAGTCCAAGTCTCCTGGCACATTTTGCATAGAACAAAAGTTGCCTGTGAGGTCAAGAGGATGTCTTTCAAACTCTTTGTTTTACAGGTTCTCCCTGAGCTTTCAGCTAAGGAGAAGGCTATTGCCCATCTTCTGATGGGAAGGAAAGCAAGGTACCTGTCACCTAGTCAGAGTGTATAGCAGACCTGTGGAAACTGACCACAGAGGCAGGACAGATACTAGATGGTAATCCCCACTTCCAGTATTAACCCTCATTTATATCTGAATAGTGGCACATGGAAGAGACTGGATTCAAACACTAAGGGAGGGAGAAGAGATTTTGAGGGACCATTGTTTTATTCAGCTTCCAGGTTGGAGAAGCATGGCCATCCAACTCTGACCAGCTCACCCTGTTCCACAACTTCTCATAAGCTCCCCAGTGGAAATACTGGGCTTGTATTTCCCCTGTAGCTATTTTCTTGTTTGAAAGAGGATGTGGGCTGGCAGGGCTGGCTGGTTGTTACTCACCTGTATATTTAACAGGAATGCTTTCTTGGCCTCCTCCATGACTCTTTTCTTAGTGGCAAGGTCCATCTCGAGAGCATTCATGCGGGAGCGATAGAGCTGCTTGAACTTGGTGGCATTGGAGACGCCATCAAAGGTGAAGAAAGCCAGCCCTTCCCCAGTGCTGGGCAGCTGGAGAGCCTTCTGGGCAATTTTCTTCAGCACCTGCCCCCCAGACAGGTCTCCCAAATACCGAGTGTAGGCATGGGCCACCAGGAGCTCTGGCTCGTTCTTGCCTATGTAGTGGAGCCTCTCGACATATTTCCGAGTAGCCTCAGGACATGGGATCTCTTCCCTCCAGTTTCTGCCATAGAAGTACTTCAAGTCTTCCTCCAGGGCAGCTTTGCGGTGCAGCTCCGCCGGAAAATACACAGGGGCATAAACTGGATTGTTCTTGTTACGTTCAATCTCTTCCTCCAGAGCAGAGTAGACAAAGTACAGGGATGCTGTAACCAGCTGAAAGAGAAGAAAGAGGATGAGCTATAGGTGCATCTGTTTGTCTTTTTCAAGTCTGTGGGAAAAATTGTACTAACAAAAAAGGTACTTGTGGGCACACCCACTGTGAGTCACAAACAGCTGTAATGTTGCAGATTTCCCATGTGGGAAAACAGTGCTAGGTACAGGGAGACACCGTTTAGCCCTTCCCCTTCTGCTTGACACAGCAATCAGGTGAGACCTTTCCAGCAGGTATTGGTCTTACTTGCTCCTAAAGTCACTGTCTTGCCTTCAAGTTAAAGCCTTGCAGCTTAATGTAATGTAAACTGGAGCCCTGTTTAAGCATTCCTGGTCTCTCCCCATTCCCTCAGTCAATAGAGAGGGTATTCCCAAAGGTATCCTTTCTGGTACATTGTTCAAATTTGAATACTCCAAAATGTGGCTTCCCTTTGTGGGGCCTTGTGAGATGATGACACACCCTGGTTATTTTTCAACATATTCATCCTGTCAGCATCCCACCGTCCTGGGAACTGAGGCACCACCACTCTGCTCACTCAGGCATGCAAGTGGGGTTGCCTCCTCGGTTGCCCCAGGGAGACAAGATAAAAGGGATCTGGAAGCACAGCCTGTCTCTGAAAGATGCCTTTGTGAAGGAGCGCTGGGAGGCTGTGTTCCCCCCTCTATTTTGAAACCATTGTTATTGTTGTTTTTCCCAGATTATGCGATACTTTCTTCTATCTGCCAGCTTTTCCACGTGGTCTGAGACAATATAGCTGTGTTCTTTCCTTCCCCAGGCATTCTGTTTTCAGAGGCTGTTATGCCTACACCACCTCTTGTGAGCAGTAGATGGTAAAAGATGAAGGTGTTGCAGCAGAGGTGAGACAGGTTTGGGTAGGAGGGATTATGCTGCTCACAAGAGAGAAAGCAGTTTACTTTCTCACAAAGCAGTCAGTTCTGCAGTGAGAGAGTTCCCATTTCAACCTTTCCCCACTGTGCCAGCAAATAGGACTTTGATAAGCACACGGGCAGTGACTGGTTGTGGAAACAAATATCCACCATCTGGGGAGTCACGTAGCAGGCCAGATATATAGGTCTGCCAAGAGAGTAAACAAAAACAATTTTTTAAACAGTAACCTGTTACCCAGCTTACTGGAAAAGAAACAAAATATGGGAACATTGCCTTACAAATTAAGCAAAAAAAAAAGCTCAACTGATTGTTTTCAGAGGCAGGTAGTGGTTTAATGAGCAACATGGCTTTTAAAAACTTGTTAATTTTTAAAATCCGTGCCCCATCTCATTCGCCTGACAGCATGTAAAAATCATCTAAGAAATAAAGTTTTATTCCTGAAGGTCTTGTCTATCTCAAAGTTCACTGCCTAACCAATGCTGTATTTCTAACCGCAGGAAGTCAGCACCTGAGATTGAATTTATGCTTGGCTAAGTATTCTGAATGTCACCTGTCAGAAATAAGTAGTCTCTTTCTACTTCTCTGGATTTATTTACCAAGGAACAATTCAACAACAAAGTAATTAAGTCACAGGTTGAATCGGTAGCTGTTATTTGCAAGACCATGTGTCACATCCTATAGCCTCTCAGGAATTTCTTGCCCAGGTGTTTGCTTTGGCTTTGCTCATGGCTTTGTTATGTGGCTCAGATCCCAGGAAATGTATCTAGCCAGGTTAGGCTAATGTGTGGAAATTCATCTCTTTTATCTCCAGAAAAGCAACAGGCTCTTGCTTGTTAGCAGCAGACACATTGTTCAAACTCAGTCTGCTTTTGAGTTACTGTTCATGATCTCAGCTGTGGTATAACTCAAGTGACAATGCAAAGTTCAGTGCCAACAATGATCCCACATCCTCACTTTCTCACCATCCCATCATTATTCCTAGCAGCAGCTGCCTAGAGTGTTGTAAATATAGAATTTCCCCTCTTTTGGGCATTTCAGCTGCTCAAGTATCTGAACATACTTCTTTCTCCATTAACTGTATGGCAATAGTTAACATGCAGGCATTTATGAAGAAAGAGAAAAGTAATACCATTAGTCCCATCAACCTCTTTGTCTTTTTTCTCCTGTTTCAGCTTGGCTGCCCATCGTGATATGCACAGTCCTTCCCCACCTTCTGCAAGAGGAGCCAGTAGGACCTCAGGGTGGAGAAGTTTGATGTTTTTCATGTTTTTCATAGGAGATGCTGATACATCATGGCCCCATCCTCCCCCCTTTAGTCCCTTCACAGCCTATCTGATCTAACTGGTGAGGAAATCCCATCCCTGAGCAATGCTGCTGTGAAGTACCTTAAACTCCTGGAGTGACACCTGCCCCTTCTGGAAATTCCTCATGAACGGTGTGTTCTCTGCCTGCTCATGCACCTCCTTGGTAGCTTCCTTCAACAGTTCTGACAGGTCTGTGGACATTCTGGGGAAGTACAGTGAAACAGGTATTAGTGCTGTCTCCTCTGACAAAACAGATCTTCTCTCTCTAGGACAAAAGGGGGAGCCTGGGATGGCAGAAAAAGGAGCAGAGCATTCCCAAGAGATGTGGATGGGAACCAGAGAGCACCAGCTTTCCAAACGCTGTCCCGAGCAAGGAAGACTGACAGACTCCATCCAGAGGTGGAGAAAACAGCATGCCTTTCCCCGCAGAGCGGGAACAGGAACAGCATGCCTAAAAGCAAAGGGAGAAACACAAGACTCCTCTGACAAAACGCTTCCGTCTCATTCCCGTCCCGCTCTCACCTTTCGGAGCTGTGTGACTGGGAAGTTTCCATGTTTCTCCACGTCTTTCACTCCTCTGCTTCCCTGCCGTTGTTGCTCGTGCCTTCCTCCGTCCTCCCAGCTCGCAGGACAGTGAAGCTCTGGGCTGCTCTGAGCTGGGCAGCCTGACTCCCGCATTTATACTGCCAGGCCACGTGAGCAGCGAACCGCTGACCTCAGTGCGAGTACAAACTTCTTGCAACACAGCAGCACTTCCCTTCCCAGCCTGGCTGTCCCCCTCTCCACGCCTGCAGCCCCAAGGAGCCAGGAGGAAGTCACCTGATGCGTCTCGATAACTAAGCAAAAACAAGAGGATGTCCAGAAACTTCTCTTTTAAGGGTGCCTGGCTCTGTAACCCTTTCAGTGCCTTGTCTGTGGCAAGCAGAGCCCGGGTACTCCAGGAGATGCTCATTGTCCTGGGGACAGCGGGGTTGAACGAGGAGGGTGGATTTACAGGGCTGATGCCTGGGGCAGAGAGGGCAGCCTCCTCGCCCTACATCCCAGTCTGTGTGCCTTGCACCCTGCCTGGAGAGCTAATCCAGCACTCACCATCACCTGCTCTAGCACAGCTCAGGTATAAACATCCCATCTCCCATGTCTGTGCTCATACATGCACCAGCTCTGGCTTGCAGGTGCCAAACCTGCCCTCGTGCAGTCCCCCTTGCCCTTGGCACTGGGCAGCACCCTGTCACTTTGCACAGAGCCAACACAGGTGTGCCAGCACTGATGCACAGAGAAACGCATTCCACGCTCTCTTGCTCATGGAAACTATGGCATCTGATTTGTTTGGCAGCTGGCTCCCGTTGTCACCATAGCAGTGTGCAGGGCAATTTAGGAAGATATCACTCCATCTCCTAGATATCTAGAAGGCTGAGGTAGCTCAAAGATACTAAATAAGACTTGGGGGAAACTGAGGAAGTCTGCAAAGGCTTTCAAGGGCAAATAAATTCTTTGATTTGGTAAAAGAGTTGGACATGGTGCTTCTGCCTGTAGCTATTGCTCTGCTTTTTTTTTTTTTTTTTTTTTTTTTTTTAATAAAGTGGTCTGAAGCAACAAACAGATGAAGCTGGGCCCTTCTTTCCCACCTGTAGCTATGCTGGAAGCAGGGACAGATGATGCACTTTGGAAAAGCACATATTTGTGCTCAGCCCAAAAGAGCAGGGCACTTAGAGCCACCTTTCCCCTGCTGCTGTGGGTGTAAGAAACTCCTGGTACACTCATGCAGGGGGTGGTGGGGAGGCAGAGCCTGGGTGGAAGGAGAAGGACTGTGGCATCTGCTGTCCCTCTGCAGCCAGCCCTCTCTGTGGATGCTGCCATCCAAGCCAGCACCCTGCCTGTCTCCCTGTCACTGCATCCATACCAGCCCCAGCAGGATTGGAGGTTGTAGGTTAAAAAGCTGTTCTAGAAAAAACATGCTTCCATGCTTCTTTTTTTTTACTCCAGCAGACATCTGGTATGCAGCGTTCAGGAAAGATTAGTCAGCATTTCCATCCTGACTCAGCCAGACTTTTCCTGTCTTGCTTTTGTCTTTTAAAGCAACAGTGCACGCTGGCAAAAGCTGTCACGTTCTATTCTTACCCCCATGCCACTGCAGACCACTTGCTTGCTTTTCTGGAAAGTAAAATAAATTTATCAGGATGTTTGAATCTTCCAGGCAAGTGTGACAAAGCCCCAAACATCTCCTAAGACTGCAGAGTCCATGTGTAGAGCAGACAGCCCCATGGCCAGTCCCTCCTGAAAACATTGATACCAGTTTGCCACAGGAATGGCCCCAAAATGAATGTTTCCCACTGGCATAGTTCCTTAAAGCTCTCGTTTTCTGTCATTTTCAGTGAGCCCTATTCTGACAGGGGAAGCTGGAGCACAAACTGAACTTTTAGTTCTAGTGGAGCAAAGTAGGAAATATATGAGAATTATATGAGAATAAGAGTTGTATTATGAGAGTATATTATTCATTTTGTGAAATAATATGAAAAAAATCCAATCCTCAGGCCCTGCCCCTCCTTTCACCTGCAGTCCTGGCAATGCATCCAGTTCTTCCCAAAGACTTTCTGAGTGCTTTCAAGCCAATGATTTTGTCCCCAGCCTGTCCACCTGCCTTCTTCCAAGAAGCTGCATGCTTGGAGGCCCTATAAAAGATATAGCCAAAAATCCTTTTCCCTTCCATCCAGGATTGCGGTAGGTCTGAATGAGACTGGGGGGAAGAAAGAGAGGGTCTCTAGTCATGTTGCTACCACTGCAGGTAGGTTTTCTGGCTTGTAACCATACTGCTCCAGGACATGGAGCAGTACCTTCTCTGGCTCTTGGGGCTTTACCTTCCCCTGGGCAGGCCACAAGAGATGCAGCTCACCTCTGCCAGGAGATTGGCAAAGGTGCAGACAAGCAAGCTACGCCCCATAAGTGATTCATGCTGTCTGATCTCTCTCTGATTTGGGTTTCTTGGGATGGAGCAGCTGTGAGACTGAGCCTAGCTCTCTGGAAAGGCCCAAATTCCCTGAAGCAAGATGGAAGGAGAACTGAAAGTGGGGTGTCATCATCTTTGCAGTTGCTGGCCTGGAGCATTTCTGGCCTCTCCAGTGTTCTGCAGCAAGGGCTTGAATTGCTTCTGCTGTGCTGTTGCTTTATGATGGGTGGGAGGTCAGTGACACTGAGCGAGCCAATGTGCCAGCATTGAGGCCATCTCTTCCTCAAAGACAACTTTGGAAGTCAGCACTTGAGAGCAATGAATGGGGAGGGAGCAAACCGGCTCCCAGAGCACAGTGGGCCATGGGAAATCAAAGGCTAGCCTGCATCCAGGTCACTAGGAAATTCTGCTTGAATATCACTAAAGTATCAGAGCTGTGATAAAAAGGTCTGCACTGTGCTTGCCAGAAACCCTGGTGTCTCCTGCCCTTCCAGTGAGCTGTGTCTGGGTGGCGCATGAACTACTCGCTGTAAGGGCACCAGCAAAACTGCCCAAGGGATTTCTAGGAAAGATGAATAAAGTAGCCTCAGGCAAGATAATTTAGAAGTTCCTGCTGGGCTTAAAAGCCTGTCTTAAAATCCCACCCCCTGGGAAAATGCTTAGTCACGAGATGGGAGATTCATGGTTAAACACAACAGAAAGTTACTGAGGGGTCAGTGTTTCCATATGCAACAGGGAAGTGGAGAATTTTCTCCTCTTTGTACGTTAACAGCCTATTTTGCCAGTAGATTTATGGCCAGAAATGTCTAGTTACACAGGCAGTCACGGGATGCAAAGTCAGCTCTCCTGAGTCTCTTGTGGAGACTGTTCCATACTGGGCTCTGGCAGGCAGCTCCCAGCATCTCAGCTGGGCTTGGCTTCTGTGGGAAAAACCAGTTTTAGCCAGCTCAGAGGGGCTAATGGGCTCTCTCTCAAACCATGACACAGCAAAATGCAGCTGCCTGGTTAGCACTGGGAAAGCTGACTCAGTGACCAGGATTTGCTGTGTAATGGTCGGGAAAAAGGCGTTACATTAATTGCTTAAAATGGCCTGCTGGAGAAAGGAGTCTGTGCTGGACTCTACAGGGATAACCTGTGTATTAATTTGTGAGATTACCTCTCCCGGCCTTGGCAGACCTGACTCACTGCTCTCTCAGCATCCAAAAATCCCAGTCTAGATCAAGGATGCAGGTGGAAAAAAAGGAGGTCAAGTGTCCAATGCACTGGAAATCCCTATGGAGAGCTTAGGTGCTGCAGCTGTCCATGAGGCTGGCTCTGCTGGTACCTTTGGAGGGTTGTATAGGCAGGCACTGCTGTGCTAGGCAAACCCCTCACACAGGAACCCTGGAAAACAGTGTGATGGGAGATGGAGGTGCAGGCAGATTTCCCAGGATAAGTGAACCAGCATGACAAAAATAGGAAATGCAGATTACAAGAAATATTTTCATAAATGTATATGTGTGCTGCAGCACACTGGTATCTCCAGCACATAGCTATGAGCAAGGAGAGTGCCTGTGCCTGATCAGAGTCAGGCAGTGACCTTAAGCACATAGCAGGTTAAGGGTACACCGGGCTGAAATTTTGGGAGAGGGTGCAAGAGCCCACCATGCTTCCTAGAGTCTTGGTGGTCATGGGAATCAATCCTGTGTCCAGCTAGGAGCTGCTTTGGCAGGCAAAAGGACATGTGGAAGGGAATGAGACAGAGCTAGCAAATAAAAATCCCATTTGCGCAAATGTTTCAGTCAGTGCTGGTGCCTCCTTTGTTTCAGTGCCACAACCGTGGAAAACAAAGTGCGCCTTGATTGCGAGATGGAACAAACCATGAAACTTTGGATTTGAAAAATCACACGTATGCAACAAAGAGGACCTTGTACCACACGGCTCATATCCTTTTCTCAGGAGAAGGAGGAACGGGAAGCCAAGTTTTGCACAGAAAGTGAGACCCGAGTCCCCCCTCCCCGCAAGATTTCCAAATGACCTCTGCGCGGTTCCCTGGTCCACGGTACAGGAGAAAGGCTGGGCCACAGGAAGGGGCTGTTTCTGGAGATTTCTCCAGTTGTCCGGAGCACTGGGACCGGGGCCAGGAGCAGCAGCTGCAATCCCGGCGCTGCGGAGGGACCGCCCTGCCATAACCAGGCTCACGTGGAGCCCGCTCGCCGTGACTCAGCAAAGAGCCCCTCACACAGCAGTTACTCAGCAATCGCGGCGGCCCGGCCTGACCCTGACTCAGCAGGACGCCCACGCTGGGAAAAGGGTGACTCAGCACTAGCGGGAAGCGGCTGCGGGTTTGGGGCTCATGCCCTGGGGGAACGTGCGGCATCACTTGCAAACACAATGTTCCCCTTTCAGCTGTCTTTCCCAGAGCCGTGCTGAGTGAGGCAGGAAGGGGTGGAAAAGCTGGCGTTCCAAGCTGGGAAAGCTGCGCACCTCTCTGCCTGGGGAAGCGGAGGATTGCTGTGTCCGTCTGCTGTGGGACTGGGACAGTCTCTGTTCCATACGGGAGAATCAAGCCATGGGAGCACTGGGGTGCCGGATGGGCACCCAGCTTTCACCTGTGCTGGTGGAAAACAGCAAGCCCAGGAACAGAGTGTGGGAATGAATCCATTTTAGAGACTGGCATTTAGGATGTGCCGAATTTAAGTGACTTACTCAAGACACACGTAGGGTGTCTACGGCATAGACTGTACTCCCTCCTTCACTCGTTACCAAAGATCGCTCCAGGGCAGGCAGGCAGGACCTTATTTACCGCACCGAGCTGCTGTCTGTTTTGAGAGGGTGACAGGTACATGCTGACGAGGAGAAATAAGCCAAAGAAGGGTTAGAAAGGGCAGCTATTACTTAAAAGACATTAGTTTAGGGCAGAGTGGGCTCAGCATTGGAGAGCCCTGTGCACTGTGGTGCTTATGGACTGCAGCCGGTACAGCAAAGGAGCCAGACCATGCCCCTTTTGGGGGGGATGCATTCCCCAGCATCCCAGCACCGAGGAATCAGGGCTTTGAGCTCAGCCCTTCCCCTGAGCAGTGCTGGGCACAGCAGGACCTCGGGGCGGTGGCGGCAGCTCTTTAGCTAAATAATCATTAACAAGGCGACGTGGGATTTGAATTGAAGTGTTCGATTGCCGGGTGTGGTCTGGCAGAGGCTGAGAGGGACCAAAGGTACTTGGCAGGTGGTGACTGAAGGTGCCTGGGGTGGGGTGAGCCACCCCCTGACTGCCCTGCTGGAGCTGGTGGTTCATGGTGTGCATGCCAGCACAAAACATGTCCCTGCCCAGGGGCAGCGAGGCACTGCTGGCAGGTCACCACACCTTGGCTTTTTTTTTCTTTTTTTTTTTTTTTTTTTTTTGGTCTAAGACTGCAAAAGAGCTCAGAGAAATTGGCACCTCTCTCTCACTGAGTCTTATCTGGCATTTAAGCTCTTTTTTAAAATTGGTTTTTTTTTGGTCAAGCAGCTAAAAATACCACTGAAGTGCCTCACAGCAACCTTTCTAAACACAGATTTTCCTACCACTCTGTGCTGGTGAAAGAGACTCCCCTAAAGCCGCAGGGAAGCCGTGTCCTTGCCTCACCCTGCTGTCAAATTTGCTTTGTGCCTGATCCATGCTTTTCTGCCGAGACTAGCCAGGAAAACAAGCACTTGGATACAGGTACACATAGCTTCTCTGTGCTGCAATGGAATTTCTGATCCCCCACAAGAAAATCCCTGCTTCAGAGTCCCCAGGAGTCTCCTTGACAGGACTGAGGGCTGAGCCCCCAGCCTCTGTTGCACAGGTAGCATCCCTGTATACTCCCATCCAAGAACTCGTGGCAAAGACCAATGTCCAGCCTTGCAGGAAGGCTGCTGGAGACAGCACTGCAGCAAACTTGCAGTCATGGGGAGTGATCCTGTCAATGGCCATCTCTATTCCCTTGCTCCTGAGCACTGCAGCACCTGCTTTTCCTCTTATTTGTTTATACTGTCTTCACCCACCCTTAGCAGCACCAACAGTAATCTAAAGGAAAGGAGAAGTGGAAGGGTTATTCTCATTTTGTGAAGGGAGGGAAAATTTTGTTATTCAAAATAAGGTTTGAGGAAGTTTTGACATGGCAAAGCAACATGAGAGTGGAATGGGGAACAGCCTTCCCAATGTACTGGCTCGGAACACTTCTGTGCTGACTTTGTGAGACAATGCTATGGGAAATCAGGACATATTTTTGTTACTACCCTTTAAAAAAAATAATGTACTGTTTGGAGGTTAGTAGTTGGTAAAAGAGAATCATATAATTTTTGGCCTGTATGAATGTAATGCTGGTGTGCCAAGTATCACGCTACCCAAACATCATGGAAATTCTCATTAACTTTTAGCATATATTTAGTTTTTAAAGATGTCGAGCAACTCTGACCCAGTACAAGGAAGTTATGTCTTTCTTCATCTGGCATAGCAACAGCTGTTCTGGGTTATGCAAAATATCTGTCCAGGTCAGGATTCTGTGGTCATTAATGGGTGCCTAGGCAAAGCACAAGCACTCCTTCCCGTGCTCCGTGCAGTCACAGCGTGTGGATGAATGCACATCCTGGAGTGGTCGCTGTGCGAGGCTGCACAGGGCTGATGGTTGCAGCATAATACTAGAATACGGAAAAACTTTGTTTTGTTTCTGTCCCTGGGGGTGGCAGAGCTTGCTGAGCAGGTCACTGCCAAGGGCGGGGCTGTCCTCTGCAATCGGGAAGCCTGGGCTGGGTGTGCGAGGGACCACAGCCATCTGGTGGTCAGAGCGAGCACGCAGCGCTGTTCTTTTTAAAACGACAACATCGGAAAACTTTTTAAAAGGGAAAGGTATTTAAAAGAATTCCTTACAGCGCTCTTTTTTGTTTGTTTTGGGTTTTTTTTGTTTTTTGTTTTTTTTTTTTTTGCAATCATGAAGCAGTTTTTGCCAATGCGAAATGCCCAGCGTCTACTTAAAATGATCCCTTGCAGAACTAGCAGGTCTTTTCCCACCAAGTTCCTTCTCAAAAGAAACCTTGCAAAATTATTCAAGTTATTACTGGTATAGTCTATAACAAGTACGACAGTACTGATTTGGAATATTTCAAATCTTTTTCATCCCCATTCTTCATATTTTCAGTTACTTGAAAAAGAGATACCTTGTCACTGTTGGATAAATCTCAGTGAAAAGCACTGTGACCATGCCTGGCTGTATGGTCAGGAGGGGACAGGCTCATGCTGGGGACCACAAGCAGCTCTCTGAATTTTCACCTGTTGGCCATCGATTCAAACCGACCTCACTTGGCAGGCACCAAAAATGTTTTCCATCTGTTTGTGCCTTGACGAAAATAGAGGCAACCCATTTCTGCTGCACTCAAGTCTTCCTCGGGGACAGTTCCCTCTTGGCTTTTGCCAGGTCCCGTGCCAGCTGTTCAGGGACTTAAAAACAAGGTGAGGGTGAAGATGGGGTCTTTATCCTGAGGTGGACCCAAGGTATCCCAGAGGCAGTAAGGAGGAGTTGTACTCCCTCTACCCAGGATATTAATTCAGGGATGTCTTAGTTTCTCCTTTCAGGGAATTTGCAGGCAGTGCTCCGAGGGAGCTGGAGGCACTGAGAACTTTAAGTGCCAGCTGAGGCATGAGCCAGTGTTAAAGCATCACCAGAGTGAACAGGCTGGTACCCTTCATAAACGCTGACAGGGCACCAGAAGCCCTTCATTCCCAGGTGAGCCAGGCAGCCTGGGGCCAGGCACTGGCCAGAGGGCTTAGCCTTGCTTGTTCTGGAGGCCTTTCTGGCACCACAGTTACAAACGAGCCTGTGTTCCATCATGACCCTGCTCTTGCTTCCTCTCCTGCACGTGCTCCAGCAGGGGAAGCTCAGCCACTTGGCCCTTTTGCCCTTCTTCAGATGACATTTTCAAATCCACTCAACCTTATTTTAAGAATCCTTCCCACAGCTCCCACTCAGCTAGACACTGGAGAAATGGTATAAGGATAACTGAGGATGTCCTGTGGATACTAGAGGGCCCTTTAGTAGCAACTGTATTTCTTGCATGTTTTTTAAGTGGCTTATAGGCTGCAAGGTGGGTATTCAGATCTGGTCACAAAGCAGAGAAGGGAAAGAAGAGGAAGCAGCTCACCCGCTTCCTATTTTGAGATAGCCTGTAGTCACCTCCCCACAAGACTGTAGTAAAAAACAGGGGGCACCTGCCTTGGCTCCCAGCATCCTCAGCCCCCATGCTCTTCTTCTCTCAGCACCAGTGCCCTTGCATTTTCATGGAGAGCAAATATGGCTGTGTGGTTTCATTCCTCTTCTCTTCACAGCATCCTTCCCTCCCCACACCAGCACTGACAGCACACGCCATATCTTCAAGGGAGGCTCAAGTCTTTGCTCCTTTAATGTGCAGTAAAAAAAGACAACTCTCCCATGCTCAACAAGAAATCCCACGAGCAGGAGCCCTGAGCTTGGCACCCTCCTCCCTGGCTTTCGTTTACAAGTGGGCAGCGTGTGCAGTTTGCTCTAAAGGGTTTTTCCCCCTATGTGCAGAGGAGCTTCTGGCAGCCACAAGGCTGCTTTACTGGCATGAGATGACTGATGTTTTGTTTCCTCTCTGTGCTCACCAGCTGAACAAGCTTCTGCAGCAACAGCACGTTTCCAGTGGTGTAACAGTGCTGAAGGAAGGGCCTCCTGCTTTAGGGGGACGCAGCTCTGTGACCCCAGCACACACAGCCACCCTGAGGGAGTCTGTGGCATTGGCCTGGCTCAGAGGGACTCCCCACACCACTCCCCACCCACAGGCACGATGTGGTGGAAGGCATTAGTGGAAGTGAGAGAGGAGGTAGGATCACCTTGGGAGAAAAGTATTATAATGGAGAATTAAATTAACTACAAATAGTTTGCTAAAGGCACATCCTACCCCATGGGACAGCCCCTTCAGCCTGAGGTACCGCTTGCAGTCCTGTGTGCTGCTAAGGGTTTGGACGACTGGCTGTCATGCAATGGAAACATCTGGGCTGTGGGTAGGATTCTGGATAAACTGGTGGGGAAAGAGAGGCGAGGAAGAGAAGCAGTTGTGAGTGGGAAGGTGTTGCATACCACAAGCACTTGTGCAAGAGAGATTAGGGCAACAGGATCCCTCTACCATTAGTGTTCCTCCTCAGCCACCAGTAATGCTTCACATCCCTGTGCTTTCCAGTCTAACACTGGCAGGCAGAGGGCTGGAGATACATTCTAGGGGAGGGGTGAGGAAAGAGGCAGGCAGGAATGATTTCAGCAGCAGACTGCAGCCTCTCCTGCTTCTTGGGCAAGATCTCTAACTACCTCACTGGAGAGTAGAATGGGGGAGCTTCTTCAAAAGCTTCTTCTGCTTTGCCCACACTGTACCATAAAAAGAAAAGCCCGCTGAACTCCCACATTCTCTAGCAGCTTTGAAACTCCCCTTCATAAGTCTATTGTATGATATCCCTAAACACAACAAAGATTGTCTGAAGTCTGAAAGCAGCTTAAAAATAAAAACAACTCAAAGGTTAAACAGAAGGAGAATGGAGGAAGGGGACAGAGTCCTTCCTCTCCTGGCCCCTGGCTGGAGGCAAGCAAAACAGCACACACAGCCTCTTGCTCCACAGCACACCAGTCCATAGCATTCACAAGGCAAACATAGCATCATCTTCCTTTGCTTGCTTCTGATGATGGCTGGCAGCAGGAGGGGAGACAGACGTCCCGGCTGAGGAGCTGGACAAAGTGGGGAGGCGGTCTGCAACTTTCGCTCGCTCTTCCAGAAATTTGTCAAACTCTGAGAGCAAGAGAAGAGCAGAGCATTAGCAAAGAGGGAGGTTTGTAGAAAAGCCAAGGTGCTGCCAGGAACAGTTTAAGAAAAGGGCTGGCTGGCACATCTCACCTTCACTGGTGACACCTTTTGGATCCTCCGATTCTCCCTAGCAAAGAAAGAGAAGGGCATGGTTAGAAGGCAGGTAGGTAAATACATCTCACAGATGTGATTCTTTGCACATGGAGAGACAGGATAGTGTTCTCCCACTTCCACAGGACAGACTTGTTAGAGGGGCCCTGAGCCTCAGTTCATTAGCTATGGCTCGCAGAAAGCTGATGATACTGTTGTGGTATCCCAAAGCCTATGTCCCTGGCTTTTCCTTCCATGGTCTCTCCCAGCAGCCTGTACCACACATTCAGTGATGCCAGCACAGTTATACACTGCCTGAAGTCCAGCCCACAGACAACTCTGGCAGGACTGCTGGCTCCAAGAAGGCAGTCCCTCACTTACCACATCAGTGGAGAGCCACTTTTCTATGTCCTCCATGAAATTGCCTTGAGGAACTGGTACCTATGACAGAAAAAAAGGTCGATGAGGCCAAGAAAATAGAGGATGTTCCAGTAAATCCACTATGTAAAAATAAAGCCCAACCCAAAAGCTTAGCCTCTTGCTCCACTGTTCAGTCAGCTCAGCCCATCCAAATCCAGCTAGTGCCACTGCAAAACCCTCCAAGCTACCAGTGTGTAATGGTTTTGGTTTGCCAATTTGAAATTTCTCAGCTAATCCACTAATTTATGTTGAGGGTTTTAGCACTAGCCATTGCTTACCTGCTTCCTCTGTCCCATCTATGCCCAGATGTAGTTTCCAGGATACATGCCATTAAAAGCATCTGTGGTTTGGTGGTTGGCTTTGGGGTATTAGGACTGGACCATACTTTGCTTTTTGGTGAGGACCCACTGGGTGGAAGTTAGCTGCTTGTGTAGGCAGCCAGAGAATAAAAGATATGCATTTCTCTACACCCTCTCCCTCCACAAACCAGTGACAGTCTAATGTCAAAGTCTGCAATGCTGAAGATATTGGAGGTGCCTGGTCTGACAGTAAGGGGGAAAAACACCTGCCAAGAACTGATTCTCTGGTATGATCATGGAGCACAGCAGATTTGATATCACACCAAAGTACCGAAACAGACCCATCAAAGAGAAAGTAATCTACAATTAAATTTCACTTCCAGTAGGGATGAGGCTAGCTCAGAAGAATTCATGGCCTTGGTCAATTTAAACAGCAAAGATACGTATTCCTAGTGGACAGAGGTAACCTTGAAAGAAACAGTCTGATTCAAAACCCCAGATCCTTTTCTCCAGTCCTGAGCTCCCGAACAACGCTGAGCAAGAAGCAGCCTTTGCTAGAGGCTCCCCAAACAGAAGAATGAGAGCATTTGTGGGAATTTATTTATTCATTTTCTATATATATGGCTTCCTTGCCCTCAGGAAAACACCAAGACCAAGAAAAAGAGCAGTATCCTTGTACCAAAGACAGGCAGATTTCCTCAAACCAGGGAGGAAGCGCAGATAGTTATCACAGCTGGCAGATGCATGAATGGGAATGGAAGAGGATGTGTGAGATTAGGGAAGTTTCAAAGCAAGCTGGCTTTGCCTACCCAGAGGGGCTCTCTTTGGGGTAGAAGTGCCAACTGTACAGCACGTGGGGAAACTTCCTAGAGCAGACATCAGCCTGGGCTGTGCCCATTACAGGAAGACAAGCTAACAAGCCTCAGACCCATGAGCTGTCAAAGCCTCTGTGTGCCTGAGGGAATATAATTGCAGGAATTCCTGCTGCCAAAGGACTGAATTCTGAACTGCCTGAAAGCTCAATCACTAGCTACAGGAAGAGGCTTTCAACAGAATGTGTTTTCTTTCAAACGAGGCACCCCATGCTAAGGAGGAGAGACTGCAAGGAGAATGAATGGCAGCAGTTGCCCTCATGATGTCACCAGCTATTGCCTCTGCCTCAGATACCCACTCCAAAACAGGCCATCCTCTAGCTCAGAGTGGCACATGTTCTTGGTCTCAGAGCTCCTAGGATTTTTTCCTACATATATGTTTACTTGAGGAAGGACTGGCACCCTGCCTGCTTCCTTCCCAAAACTGGTCTCCACTACTGGCCCAGCCCAGGGTTGCTCCATTTCAGTTAGCAGTATCTACTGATGTCTGCTGTGCATCCTCATGTGCTGTGGCAGTGACACTTCTGTTTCAGCAGCCCCAGCCTCCAGGACCTCAGATCTCACCATTCCTTGACGCATCATCCACTTTGTCAGCTGGGCTCCATCACTAGAGGTACCAGACTCCCCCTGGATGACAGAAGAGTCTGCATTGCAGTGTGAGGGAGAGGGGAGGCAGTGGGTTTAAGGTGAGGGAAAGAATATACTAATACTGGTGGCCTACTTCTCTGATTGCAGAGAGAAGGCAACTGGACTTGGAAATTTGCTGAAGAGAAATAAAACATACATTTCCAGATGGAAATTTCCCTGGCGAGGGACATCCTTCAACTGCCTGAGGCAACCCCAGATTTTCCACAACTCCTCACCTCAGGGCTTTAAAGAATGAGGTATGCAGCCCAGCTAGGAAATGCAGGTTGGTGGAGACTGGGAGTTACCATCATTTGACTTTTTCCAAACAGACAGCACCGTTACTGCCTTGGCAAGCCAGGAGGTTACTCCCATTCCTGGTGATGCAGTAAAAGCTGTGGCCACTTACCGCTCCTGTGTTCTGCTGCCGGGCATCCAGGGCACCAGCAAGGCCTTTGGTGGCTTGGGGGTCTTCATACTTTACCCTGGAAGCAGAAAGAGAGACAACAGGCTGATGAGATGCCTGACAGTGAAGAGCAGGAACTCCTAAACACGTGTTCAGTTCTTCTGACTGCCTAACTTTTCATGTCTTGTCATTCTGCTGCCAAGAGCTTCTAGAAAGGTGTGCAAAGCCCTTATTAAAGGTGTAGCCCACCACGAAACAGACTAATCTACTCACTGGAACATTGTGGGATACAACAGGATAGCTCTGGCACAGTGACAGAAGGATGACAAGGACTTATATGAAAACTAAGACACGGACTTACAGAGCTAGGTGTATTAACCATGACACTCACCTTCTTTGGGGTGGACTATAAAGAGAGAAAACTAACACAGACTGACCAGAATATTACAGATATTTTAGATAGGATTTGAGCAACAAACCCCTACATACTCACCTATCTTTGCCGACACAAACAGCTCAAAAACATATCTTTAATTAATAACATGCAGGAAGTGATGGTGGCAGAGGCTCACTGGCCTATGCTGGCCATAGGTGAGACTGGGTGATCAGAAGAGCCTGGTGTTGCTTCCAGGTCTCCAAATGCACTATTACAGCAACCTCTTTCCACACACAGACATATCTCACCCATAATTTCCCTCATCCCAATCCTGTGTCCCCTCTAGGCTGCTACCACACATGACTATGCCACACGTCACCATTTGATCCATGCCGAATGGGGAAAACTCTCCATGCTAGGAAAATGAAGTCTTTCACAGAAACTCTCCACAAGTTTCCTCTCCAGCTGCTCCCAGGCCCATTCCCACAGATCCAGCAAGTCATCAAATGGAGCTGTTTTTGTTGGGGGCCAGGGGCTTGGGCCACCGCCGCTCAAACTTCTCAAAGAAGTGCTCATCAGTGAAGGGGCCGCTGTGGATAATGGCATCCAGGATAAAGTACAGCGCTGCTATCATGCCACTGATGAGGAAGAACGGCAGGAAAGGCTTGAAGTGCCTCAAGCACTGCCTCATCAAGACACACATGAAGCATGGGGGGGTCAGGAACAAACCCCAGAGGCTCTGACAGCACGTCCTGTTCAGGAGCTGTAGAGCAATGGGTCTGTTCAAGTGGAGGGAGACACTGAGAGCAGAGGCTTGTGAGTGAAATGTGAAGCCTGAGCCACTAGAGGTTACTTGGCAGGAGTGCAAGTGCAGGCAGATGAAGGGCAGTGAGGAATAAATAGAAGATGTCTTGTTACTTGTGCAGAGATCATAAGCCTCAGCCTGTTAAGGACTGTGCCACAGCAGAGAGGATACAATTCCACCTCTGTCCAGAACTCCAGCACTGAGCACATACCAGCGGCTCCGATTTCAGCCCCAGATTGGGTGCTATTGATACAACTGTTTTTGTGCTGGACTGCCTCTGTCCTCAGGCAGCACAACCCACAGTAAAAGCAATGGGGAAACCCAGGGAAAAAACACATAAAGTCATGTGTAGGCCATGGGTTTCCCCACCACGTTTACCAGAATCAGTCTGAGGTAGAGGAATGGAAGGAGACATCATTAGGAGACCTTTATGTATAAGAGACCTTAACTTGCTACTGTCCAGCTGAAGAACAAGGCATTCCAGTGGCTGCAGGAATGCAGGAGCACAGGCCTTGGAGGCCTGGAGGCAGTGATGTGCCCATGGACTCTACTGCTTGGTACCTATAGAGAGCAGCAAATGGCTCTGCCAGGCAAAGCAGCATGAGATCAGCCACAGTCTCTAAACCCAGAGGATCTGGTCAGCACAGCTCTTTCCAGCTCCTCCAGAACAAGGATTCAGGAATCCACTCTGCAGTGGACGAGGCTTCTTCAGTTCAGCCAGTACTATGGAGACCCAACTCTTAGTGCTTTATACCAGGAGGTCTCAAACACACCATGGAGGAAGAAACACCAGTCTCACTTACCAATAGGGAAGCTGAGGCACAGAACAGTGCCCTCTTGCAAGCCACAACCGACTGCATTCTTCCTGCTCTCCAGCTCAATACTCTGTCTGTTAGGCTGAATCAGTACTCAGCAATTCCCAAATTCAACATCACCCCGGTCAGGGCACATGACTTCAGTGGCAGACAAGAAAACTGAGCCAGTCCCACTTCACACCTTCATCCCCAGACACTGAATCTCCCAGAACATGTGACACTGCAATGCTCACATGCAGGGACCAATTCCTTCTCCCCATACCCAGGAGGATGCCATGAAGGGGAGATTATGGCAGCAGGAAAAAGGACTGGGACCACAGAGCTCATCCTACAAACACTGTGCATATGAAGAGTGCATTTCCCTTTCATTCTACTGTCTCCCAGGAACTGCTGCTGGTTGGGTCATGGCCCCATTTTCCCTTAGCCCTTGTCCTTTGCAAGAAGGCAGGACAGGACAGAGTGAGCTTCTCCACTCACCCTCTGCGCTGCTCAGCCAGCGAGCTGCCACGGGTCAGGGCAAACATGTCAAAGTCTTCTTCCAGCTTGCCAGAAGTGTCGAGGGAGTGCAGCCCTGCACTTACACTGCTTGAGCCCAGGTCTGTGGGAGAGAGAGCAGGGTGAGCCAGCAGCACAGAATAGTAAATGGAGGACTGTGGGCTTGGAGAGTACTGGATGGAAAACTACCATCAGAACAGGCTAAACTACTCTCTAGGCTCACTCCTCTATCCTGCTTCTCAGCTGCAGCACAGTCTGTGCATGTGTGCAGTCGTGGGTGAAGTAACAGAAGCTGTTTCTTTGCCCACTCAGTAGATATTTTTGGCTTAGCTTCAGCAGCATCATTTTACTGATGCTGAAGGCTAGATGTGTCCGACCATCTTAGACAACTCTGGAGGGTACTGCTCTATAACCTGTGGAAGAAAATAACCTGTGCTTCTGGGAAAGCACCTCTGAGACAGAGTGGATTTTCATGACTCAGGCATCATCCAAAAAAAACTTGACTTGAAAAATATTTCAGCTGACTTGTCTATATAAATAGGCTGGTGCCAATTTTCTGCAACTGCATCCAGTTGGTATGTCTTGAAGAACCCCCAGGACCCCTCAGGTTTTTTGAGTAAACAACCTGTGAAATCCTGAGTCCTGAGCCCAAGATGCTCATGGCTGTCTTTGCAGCATAGCTTCAGCTGCTCTGCTTCTCCCAGATCTCAGTGGTCAGCCTGACACCACACAGCAAGAGAGGCAAGTAGGCAATGCTGCCAGGCATTGCAGAGGGAGCAACTTAATCCCCATTCCTGCTGGAAGGCCAGGTCCTTAGCCACAGGCTAATACTGAGTCCCTTCTTTAGTCATGGCCACCTCCTGCACAACGTGAGGTGAGGACACCAAGACATATGCTTGAGTGCCTTGGGGCATATACAAGTTTCTATTTGAGTTTATTAGTTGAAAACACATGGCATTTCTCTAGGTTACTCTAGGAATCTGACTAAATAATTTTGGGAGATGATTCAAGGGTGGGAAAGGATTTTCAAAGCAGCACAGGAGAAAGACTGAGGGGAAAACTACATGGCAACATACTCATTCCAGCCAGCTGAGAGGAAAGATTGGTGACTTCAGGCTGTTTCAGTGCTGAAGGAGTACCGGGTCCCAGGTCAATCAAGCTGTTCTCTGCCTCATTTGGTGCCTTTGGAAGAAGAAAAAGAAGATGGTAGAGAGCTTCTGAAGCTTGGACACCCTGACCCTACAATCCTAGCTCATTGATACTGGAGAGGAAAGCCCTTCTGCACCGAATGAAAGATATCAGCAGTGAAGAGGAAGAAGAGGGATAGTGATCAGAGAACTGGTGGGGGATAGTGTCAGGGCAGCATATGCCTTGGTAGCCATCCTCCCAGCTCTGCTGGATGTCAGTAAGTAGGGTAGATGCTGGTTCAGAGGACAGGTTCAGAGAAGGCTCATATGGGAATTGGAATCTCACTATTCAATAACCATAACTGCTGCTGCTCTGCTCTTGCTCTTTGGGCAGGGTAGGAGAGGTTGGCAGTGGGAAATGGGGTGTCCCACACACCAGGTGCTCTGGTGCAGCTTGGCTGGGACAGCAAAGCCCACCATTTCTAAGTGAGGCAGACTGAACCCTCCCTTCAGGGCACTGCTGGACCTGCAGGATGCAAACCAAGCTGCACAGAGGGGCAGTTGCTCTGAGTTACCTTAACAGGCTGTCCTGTCCGAAGTCGCTCGAACCTGCAGAAAGGTGACAGGATGCATTTCAGTAGTGTGAGCTCATTTACCCACAGCCCAAGAGATTTTTTATAAGACTTGGAACAGTTTGCCCTTTCATATCCACTAGGAAAGGGGAACTATGGCTCAGGGCCCAATTTCCCCTCAGGATAACCCAGCAAGACGCATAGTCTCCTATGGATGTCTCCTGAGAGGTGGTGTGAGAAAGCTTCTTAGGGTCTTCCACAGTTACTCATAACCAACAGCTCTCCTTACAGTTCATCTGGGGATGAACTAGCAAAGACGTGTTTGTTGAAATGGAAGGAAAAAAAAAGCAGTGCTCATCCCATCCGGGCAATTTCTTTCCATTCCCATCTGCCTCAGAGCTAGAAAACCAGCTCTTTCCATGCAGTTGCCTCCTTCTTTGGGGTTATGCCATAGAGGCATATTTATATCCCATCAGGAACTTACATAGCAGCTTTGAAGAGACAGGAATTAGTCAGCAAAAACTGAGAACAGACTTTGTTCTCAAAGATGGATGATACAGACTGTTACATCTTGAGTATTATACTCATGGGCAGATCCAAAGGATGGGATAGGTAGCCTTCAAGGGCAGTAAAGTCATGTGGGAGAGCAGGGAAGAGAAGGGAGGAGAGAGGTACCTTTCATGGCGCAGAAACACGTTATTGAGGTTGTCATTGATGAGGAGCAGCTCCTCGGTGAGTTGCTCATGGAGGACACGGGGAATCAGCTCCAGGACTCGCTGTTGCATGGCTCTGCATGTCCGATTCAGCTCCTGTTCAAAGCAGGGCAAGTCACCACAAAGGTCACACTACAGCTGAGCACTCACAGATTTGGAAGTCTGACTGGAACACAGACTCCAGAGGCTACTGGGATCTATCAGGAACTGTTGATGGGCAACAAATATTGGTGTGAGAGGTAAGTTGAGTCTGAGCTTTACATGGAATAATTGTATGCTTTTTGTGTGACACATCACCCAGAAAGAAAGGCTCTTGGGGACTACAAGTTCCCTTGTGAGATAATGCGATTTCCATCCACCACTGAAACTCTACCTTCCTTGTGTCTCCCTTATCCCTGCACTCCCTGATAAGCCCCACACTAAACTGTACAGTCGTTCCCCACACCTGGCATGCTTTGGGCTTTAGTCCATCAAGTCTACTAAATTGTGCTGCATGTGCCAGCCCTCCACCTTGCCCATTGTTCCTTACCTGCAGCAGCTCCAGGTCAGAAGGCTCGGCCTGGGATGGCACCAGCTCTGTCAACATCTCCGACATAACCTTTGTGTTCCCATTCACCACTTCCAGCTCACTGCGCAGCTTCCCGAGCTGCAAAACAGAAGTGAAGCAACAGCTCTACCAGGGAAGGCTGGGGACATAGCTGAGGTAGCTCTGAATGGCAGGGAATGGCACCACGTGTGCATGCCTGTTCACAGAGCTGGAGGGAACAGCCACTGGGGAGTTCTTTGTCACCACTCATTTTAGCTCTCAGGAGCTCCTAGCAGAAAAGCCCTCCATTACTTACCATCAAATTCATTTGCTGGTAGCACATGCCAGGCCCTCACCTGGGATCTTTGGCCACTAGTACAACCTTGATTTTTAGCCAGCACAGGCTGCTGGTATGATTCAAATATCTCCTCAGCCAACAGCTCCCATGTGGTAGCCATTTAAGTTGTTTAATTTCCAAAGTGGTGTAAGAGGGGAAAACAATTCATTCCCATTCAACAGGAGAGCGTCAGCTAAGTATGCAGTTGAAGCTTTAGTCCTCTAGTTTACAAGCTACTAATGAGCCTCTTTAGAACAGTTTCCACCCTCTGTTCTGCAAGGGAATGCAAAATACTGACAGCTAGGGGTTTGGTGCTGAACATGATGTCATATGAAGTCAGGATGAGGAAAGAGAAAAGAGGATGGGGAAACAAGTGAGGAAGCCCTAGCTTTTGGAAACCACATAGCCAGACAGGGTTGATTCATAGAAAGTAAGCAGTGAGGCAATATAAGCAAGGATGATAAGGAGGCATCATGTCTCAGCTCCCCACTTCCCTCTACCTGCAAGCAGCCATGTCTTAGGGAAACATAAACACTCCATGGTTGCGGTATCCCAGTTCATCACTGTGACCACAATGGAGCTCTGGGGAGCTCTCGAAGGACCATGCTTTAGAGGAACAGCTCTGTGAAGACAGGGGCCAGGGCAGGACCAGTACTGCAATCCTAGAACAGTGTTTGTGAAATAGCCTCAAACACAGGAAGAGTCATCCTGGGACTTGTGTCCAACTCACCTGCTCTGGTGTGGGTGTGATGGGCGCATCGCTGGGTGTGCCTCTCCCGGGGGGCAGGGTGACAGGGTGGAGGATGGACTCCATCTGCTGAGAGGAGTTGACTGCAGGTGAATTCTGTCCAGACTGAGAGTTGGAGCTATACACAGTCTACAGACAAAGGTGGGGAAAGTGACAGAGAAGGAGATGTTAGACACTCACACTTGACAGGGCAGCGCAACTAGAGGAGAAATATTGATGGCAACTCCCCACCTGGTTTCAACAGCTCTTGGCTGTGCTGGAGCTTCTCACCACCCAAAAACCCTCTAAATTCAAGAAAGAGTTCCTGAAATCCCCTCACTGCTCCAGAATGGCAGCTGCCCAACCTTCTTCTCTTCAGTAATACTTCCATACCCTCTGTGGTGTGTGGATGGGTGACAGCATGTCCAGATCAGTCATGGGGAACTCCAAACCCTTTCGTCTCAGGTCTTCATAGACAGCAACGACACCAGTCAAATCTGGAGAGCTGCGGAAGGCGTCTGCCCAGGACTGGGGAGAAGGAGACAGTACAGCCCATCACCAAATACAATAGCCTTCTGTACAAAAACCTAAAGATACACATTCTCTGGACTGCTGCAGATGCTCACACTTCTTGGCTCACCTGGATGAGGGTCAGCACCTTGTCATGCACTATGGCAGGTGGATTGTTCTTTGGCAGGATTGTTCTCACCAGGACACCTTCTACAAAGTCCTGGCTGGACACAAGGACGTGGAAGCGGTGGCCGCAGTTCTTGACGCAGGTTTCCAGGACCTTCAAAGGCAATAAAGCATTAGCTGTAGCCTTCTCTGCCCTCATGTGTTAGCCTTGTTGGCTTTAGGTACATGTGTCTGTTCAGCATATGTGCTAAAACTTGTGTTCAGCATTCAGCTTTACTGCACAGTATCACAGAGCAGAGAAAGAGCCCTTGACCACTCACCGTCAAAGCCAGCATAACTTCATGGAAGTTCTTATTCCCTACAATCCTCTTCTTAATGGCTCGGAAGGCATCTTTGGGACTGAAGGAGAAATGAGATGAAGAAAGATCATCACAGGGTTGAGGCAAAGCAAAACAGCCACAGGTTCTGGATGCCTCATATTCAGTGGGTGTCCCTCCTCACCATGTTTTCAGGATGGCTTGAAGCAGTGACTGGTAAAGCAGCTTTTGCTTGTGGTTCTGCAAGAGGAGTGGGGTTAGCTGATCATAGAACCATTTGGGTTGGAAAAGACTTTTTAAGGTCATCGAGTCCAACCATAAACCTAACACTGCAAAGTCCACCATGAATCCATGTCTTTGAGTGCTATAACTGAAATTAGAGGCCTCTGTGCTGATGTCTGCAACAGCTCAAGGTGTTCAAGACACAATAGAGAACAGAGTAAAAACAATGCTAGAAACACACTCCTGGGGGTTAGAGCAAAATCCCATGGCAGAGAGACTGAAGAGGAGGAGATCACAGAAAAGCTTGGCATGGGTTAGAAACAGGAAGGAGAAACCAAGCTGTGGCAATTCTTGTGTTACTCAAAGAGGAGCTGTTTAACATTTTCCTGGGGAGAAAGAGGCTCAAAAGCTGCAGGGAAGACACATTGGCAAAATCTTGTCTATACTGCAGGTGGGTAAGAGAGCAACAGCATAGCAGGGCCTCATTAACCATTCTCAGAAGGGAGAAACACCCTGGTCGCAGACCACTGTGGTCTTAAGAGGGCACAAATGAACCAACATGCTCTTGCAGAGCACAGGAAAAGAAGCTGAGCTGGAAGAGCAGCAGTGCTGGAGGAGAAAAGTGGGGTGGAGACACTGAGGCAGTGAGGAGGGCAGAAGTGTATCAGCCGTTGGGGCAGCATGGTGTCAGTGGATGGGCATTAGCAGGGCAATGGGAGAGCCTGTCCAGCTATGTTATCAGGTGCCCAGACCTGAAAGAAGACCTGAGCCACAGCTCAGGCCCGAGAACTGTGGACAGAGACAGGTGTATTTGCACCGTGGGGACAGTGGAAAAGGAGTGGTGACAGATCTCTAAGTAAAGATGTTTGACTTTGTTTCCATACAACTGTGAAGCTGAAAACTGGGCTTGCTAATTCTCTGTCAACATCACTGTGGGGGAGGACAGCAGGAGTGATACCTACATGTTTTATTCCATGTAGCACCTGCTTTTTTACATGCTGCTCTTGACATCTCCACTGTGAGAAAGAGCATTCTCCCTTGAATTCACTGGCAAACCCCAGCTCCTGAGTTAACAAGTCTGGCAGATTGATGAACATCTCCCTGCAGGGAGAGGGAGACAAGAGCTCCCCCACCCACTTTGTGTGTGTTTAAGTGACTGTACATGAAAATACCTGAGAAGAAACCCAAGAAAGACTGGCACAGTGAGAGGACTGAATAGAAGCCTGAGATTTCTCCCTCTTCTCAGTCACCAGCCTTTAGATTTTTACATTCCCAGTGGAGAGAGAGAAGGGTATGAAGGGGGAATAAATCAAAGTTGAAGAAATGCAAATACGCCTTCTGGAGATGGGAGGCAGCCTGGCTTGAACAGAGGGTTGTCTGGGGACCCTGAAGGCCTGTTTGAATTGACTCCTAGCGCTCACCAAGATTTATAGAGAAGCATCTAATAAATGCTCTGACAGCTTTGCTATGTCTCTAGATCTCCTAGCAGAGCCTTGTCTCAGGGATTGCTGGGAAGCCTAGCTTATTACCTCCATCAGTGCATGCTACCATTGCAGCCTAGGGATGTGGTGTTACACGGAATGCAGGGACCTGCTGCTGGATATGGGCCCTTGTCTGCTCCCTTACCCTTCTTCAGTCTCGTTAATGATGTCACAGATCTCCATGTTGAGAGCCCAGTCCTCACTCCGCAGGGACCCATCGGTAGCTCTCTCTGGAAAACAGAAACCAAGGCAAGGTTAAGAGCAGCCCTGGCACTCTTAAGTTAAGTTCTCACAAGACCCCAGACCATAGCCTGCTTCTCCCTGGCTGTCACGACAACACGCAAGGAGGCAAATCCATATGCAAATTCCAGGTCACCAAGTACTCCCCACTAGGTGTCACCATGGCAGAGCACGCTGCTGGGATGGTGAGTCCCCAGCTTTGCCCATGCCACCAATGCTATTGACACACAAACACACTGCGTGTCCTCTGATGTCTGCACACGAAGGGAAGGGGCTCAGCATGACTTCAGCTCCACAGCTAAGGAAAAGGGGGCTTATTTGCTTTGTTACTGCAAGGCCAGAAACCGTGAGTTCAGCCTGCTCACATGGATATGGATCTAAATGCCAATAACTCCAATTCTTGGTTTGTACTACATAAGGAGACAAAAAGAATCAACCCCCCTTTTTTTTTTTTAATACCAGCTCTATAAAAACAAACAAGCAAACACAGAAAACCAAAGCAGGGTTTCTCTTGTTTAACATTTACACCTGTCCCCTGAACTTCTGGCCTCTAGGGAGTGTGGGCAGAAGCAAACTGCAGGCTGAAGTCGAAGCAATATTGTTCTAGCTTTGATTGTGTCCCCTTTAATTAGGAATTCCTCAGTCAGCCTTGATGTTATTTATTCAAGGCAGAGATTTGGAAAACAAGCAGCTATTACTGGGAGCACCAGTGTCTCCACCCTGTAATCATCCATGTCTCAGTCCTAGCCATGCCATTGACTCATGCCTTCAGGGACACCACCAGTAGCTGGGGGAAAGAGAACTGCCAGAGGGGCCAGCAGGACCCAGGCACTCCCTAGACCACAGGGAAACACAGAGATGCAGCAAACGGCAAGCAGAGGACAAGAACCATCCTTTCCAGCTCTCTCATCCTACAAAACACTTGACTTAGCACCGGGGCAAGAGAATTAAAACTGGCCAGACCGGTTTAGCACTTACCAGGTGCTCTTCAGGAGAGCTTAGTCCCAGCAAGGTACTTACAGAAGTGCCTGGATTTTCAAAACTGCTGTCCCTGCAAAATCTATGTCTGTCCCTTGCTGCTGTGGGTCCTCTACTCCTCTTGAGAGGTCCTTCCTCTGCAGAGCTGCCTTTTTATTTTCTTTTTTTTTCTTTTCCTTTTGACCCATCAGCTAATGATCCCTGTCTAGGAATGAAATTAAATGCCCGTTCACGAAGTAATGGGATAAGACCATAACACAGGAAGAAGATTTTTTTATCTCCTGCCTGGTTAAGCACATCCATCATGTCCTGTTAAGAGTCAGGCACAGAGCTATTCACACCACTGTGTAATGCAGCCTCTTATACACGTGTCCCTCCCACAGATTGCACACCACAGTGTGAAGCTATCTGCATCTTATCACAATCCAGCCACCACCTTTTTTGTTGGCTACAGAATGCATTGATTACACAGTGATTATGCTGATGACATTGTGGCCACAGCCAGATGGAAGACGGCAGACAGGGAAGGAGAGTGGCAGAATATTCTTGATACTCTTCCACTTTTCTAAAGGTCTGGCTATTACTGGAATAACCTTAAGGCTCCTTGATTCAGGTAAACTTTTGTCACTTTGACTATTAACTTCACATAGGGATCCTTATCTCTGGCAGATCCAAGCTTCCACAGCGAGGCACAGGAGGAAGGACTGCACTGGGTGATGTGGAGGAGAATACATCCAGGGCAATAGGTGCGTCTGGTGCACCAGGGCATGTATTAGTGAATGGGGAAAACTGTGGTAACACGTGAGGGAAAATGTTTTCCATTGGGGCTCCTTTGGGATCAGGACTCAGTACAGTGTCAGAGCTCCAGGTTTCCTCCTGCCCTGGGTCACAGCCTTGCTGGCAGGCAGGCTGCAGCTCAGGTCAGTCTGATGGGTTTGGCTCACACAGTCACAAAGCCCCCCTCACTTGTGCTCTCCTCCGTGATCCCCTGCTCATGACACATCATGGTTTGAATAAGCCAGAAGTTTCCCTGCCACTGGCAATGAATCACAGAAATCCACTACAGTGGTTGCTCTGCTGAAAGGGAAGTCTACATCCACTCTTCTCACTGCACATGGAAGGAAAAACCCACAATTTAGGAAGAGGGCTGAGCCCGCTTAGAAGCTCCGAGCTACAGAAGAAACAAAGGACAAAATAAAACCTTCATTTAACCATCAATCCTTGCTGTTCAAATCTCCCCAACCTTCCTTCACACTGTACCCAAACATGAATTGAATCTGCAAACACCCTTTTCTCGCTTCCCAATGTTTGGTGGCACGCTGTAACCCGCTCCCCACCACCTTTTCCCTCCAAATGCACCAATCCTGCCAAGGTCGAGCAGCAGGTTTGCTTTTCAGAAAAGAATGTAAATAAACCATGCATGCTCCTTCACCTGGCTGGCCATTTAGGAGAAAACTGGACTTCCTCAGAAGTGACACACCCTGCCCCTGTTAGCCCACAATACAGGGGTCATCCTGCTACTTTCACCCCAGTTCATACACTCAAGAGAGAGCTGCAGGAAAGCAGCAAACCTGCCATAAACTAAACACAGGGTCAAAAAATGCAAAGCTGGAAGAGCAGTATTAGAGCATATGGAAAACAGGAATGTGACCCTGAGGCAATTCCAAGGACAAAATGCTTGAATTTACCCAGTACAAATTAAGGCCTGGCCTAGCTGGCACTGGGAAAGCTGGAGTTAATGCTTTTGTAATCCTCTTTGCTCTCTTCTAAGTTGTAAGGGACTGTCCAAGCCTAGTAAGATATGGAGTTTTCTCCAAAATCCTGAATTTGCCCTTCTGTAAAGCCTGCAGAAGGGAAAGAAACAAAGACTAATTAGTCACATGAAGGATCAGGGTGGCTGGCCCCATTTCATGAGCTGTAATTAGCACATGAGCTGTCTGCTCCGCAGGAAATCTGAGCCTAGGATGGCTGGGGGCAGCAACAAGTCCCTAAAAAAGAGCGAGCACAGGAGGCAGGGCACTGCCACAGACCCAGCACTGCCTGGTGGGACTCATCAGGCAGCATCTGCTTCTGTGTGTTACCACCTGAGCCTGACCTGCAGCAGAGAATTCCCGTGGCAGAGGTTATCGTCAGCCTGCAAATGCCATTCCCCTCCAAGCCCCAAACCAACCGGCTGCTGAATATACAGGAGGCCCTTCATGGGGCTGCTCCAAAGCCACATTGTTTTGGCAGCCAGTCCAGCTCCCGGGGTGTGACAGCATTGGGGTTTGTCTGATTCCAGCCTGCTGCCTCACAAATTGCTCAGAACCGCACAGGACTGTGGTACGGGTTGGACCAGAGCATCGGCTCTTCTCCTGCATGGCACTGGATGTGCTCCTGCTGACTGCACTAAGTGATAAAAGTTATTTGGAACCAGCAGATAACAAGGAACTCCAAACACTTGGCATAACTGGCGCAAAGGAGCTGTACATTGCTTTGTGCTATGATTACATTTCACAACTTTGCTTCTTTACAAGGTTATTGTCTCTGCCCTGGTGGCAGGGGAGAGCTCACTGCGGGGCTGGGGATCCCACTCAGGTGTCCCTGCACACCAGCACTGCAGTCAGTAGTGGGGGGAAGTACAGGAGCCAGGGATAGAAGATCCTGTGCAGGCTCCTGTCCCCTTTGCTCCCCATTCCAGACCTGAAGCACCCATGATCAGCCAGATGCTGCTCAGAAATATTTTGCCCGTGATATGCTCTACCCCTCCTCCAAGTGAAGCCTTCAAACAGTGCTCCCTGCAGTGCTTCTTGCTGGCTCTAAGTTCCTCTGCAAAGCATCAAGCACCTTCTCACCCATTTCAACAGGCATTTGAGGTCACCAGCAGTTCATTGCATGAGACAGCTTAGGTTCAGCAGAAAGTAATGCAAGATGTCCCTTCTCCCAGCTTCCCTTCAGTTCACAAACTCACAGGCCCAAATCAGCACCCTGTACAAGCCTCATGCTTTTACTTCCCTTGAGGGGATTTCAGCACCAGCTGTCAGGACTTCACCGTTTAGCTGTATCTTTCCCCCAAAGCCTGAGAGGACAATGTGCATTGTAAAGAGACCAGAGATACGGCTCCAAACCTAATTCGAGGATGCTGATGAACACAGACTGCGCTGACAGAGTGGTGTGGATATTTCTGTCTCTGAACTCCTGCTCCTTTCCTGTGAATCAGCTCAAATTCTCAGGGATCAAGTGACTCTTCAACTGCTTCCTTTGCCCCTTTTCCTCCAGACAGAGCAGGTACAGACAAGGCAATGCCTTTTTGAAAAGCACAACCTTGCAGGGATCCACAGAGCCTACAGAGGGGTGCAGAAACACCTGCAAGGTGGGAATCCAAAAGATTATGGGGATTTTTCTGGCATATTGTTTTGCATCTGCCTCTTCCTCACCCAGGAGCCTTTCTTACAGGAAAGCCCTCTTTACAATCTCAACTTTTCCTGGTCCTCATGCTTAAAATAATCCTCATCCATAAAAAAATCTGTGTCATCTCCATGCTACACCGTTACTTCTATCCCTTGTCTGCCCTCACTCACTAAAATAACCTGCCTCTGTCCCTTTTGGTATTGCTATAATTACTAGCTATTTTAGACTTCCAAGGTGAGGAGAGAGCATTGGTGGTTTCTTCTCCATTCTCTCACTCAGAGAACTCACCTCCTTGAAATTAGATTTTCCATTTTGAAAATGGAAAAAATCTTCTCTTAGCTCCTAGATGGAGGTATAGTAGATTTCCCTTTCAAGAGGGGAATCTGAACTATGATGCTTTAACACTCTTTGGAAATATTCCCACTGGTGTTTAAAAAAACCCACCACACAACAGAAACAAATACAAAAAACCCCAAACAAGTAAGTCTGTATTCCTCTTACTTGGGAAGAGACATCACAGTACAAAAACAGGACAAAGCCAACTTTTGTGACTAAATCTCAGAACTGTGAGTAAGAAACTAGAAAGCCTACTCCTCTGCAACTGACTCATTCTGTGACAGATCACTGAGATTATCTGAGCATTGCTTTCCTATTCAGCAAAATAAATGGGTCTTACTAGATTAACATTAATGAAGGAATTTGAGAACGTTGCTGCAGTGTGCCACAGAGATTTTTTTTTTTATTCCTTAGTCTTCATCTAAAGCTATTTTAGACTTCATAAGCTATATCAAGCATACATGACTTTGACCAAATAATTTACAAGGACGCAGCATTATCTTTCTGCAGACAGCCCAGGGCAGCAGCACTGTGCAGGTTCGGTGATCAGGCTCTTGGGTTGGACACACAGCTGCCACAGACCTACCAAACAAGTTTGGAGAAGTTGTGTTTGCGTCCCAAATTAAGGAGTGAAGATAGCATTTATCCACGTCCCCCAGGATGTTGATAGGCAAGCTTCAAAAGGAGAAAATATTCATATTTTCAATCACCGGCCCTTTCAAGTCCTCCACAGAGCTCCTTTCTCATATGCTGTAATTCTTCCACCTCTTTGGACTCCCATAACCCCAGTCAATCCCAGTCAGTAAAATTTCCCTAGTATCACATCTCTGCTTCTCAACTCATCTCTGACAACACTTTTGAAATACTTTTTCTTTTTTCCTCTTCTTTGCTGTTGGTTTGTTGCTTGGGAATCCCTTATTTAATTGAAACAAAGCCTAGAGGTATAACCCACTTATAATCTGGTTACTAAACTCGCCAGAAGATCTGTGAGGCAACTTTCAGATTCCCTCTACCCAAACACAAGGATATATCTGATACACTCACTGAGGGAACAAAGAGCATTCATTCAGGAAAGGGCAGGAGACAGCTTCTCCTGGAACGTGTGATGAAACATGTGATGCTCTTCTGGGAGTATGTTGAAGATCATCTGGAGGATTTTGGTAACACAAAGTCTTCTCTGATGATCCTTCCACCACCTGGCTGTAATGCATTTCACCTATATCTCCCAACACCAGAGTGGCACATCACAATGCCCCTGACATACTTTGGGACAGTGTTAGGGTAGCCTCTAAAATCATTATAATAAAAGTATTACTTAAAGCAGCTGCTTGCTCTCTTCCCACCCCAGGCACAGCCTCCTATTCATCCATGCAAGAACACCAAAAAGACTGAATGTGGGACCGGATGTTCACAGCAAAGAGCAAAGGTCTGACAAACAACGAACAGCAAGAATGAGCAAGTGCATAAACTTACAAGTGGAGAGTTTAAATGGGCATCAACCTTCAAGCACAACTTCAAGACCCTTAGACAACACAACATGGGAAGTGAGTCTCCATTCTAACCATTTTAAGAAGTGCATCCCTGTTCTGACACCAGTGCAGCTGTTGACGGTCTTCCCTCTAACTGCAGCATCTCTGCTCCACTTTCTCAGGCCACATCCTTCTCCCACGTTCCCCAAGCTGCCCTGAGCACAGGGACTGCGGGACACCACGTGCCCATGGGCCTGCCAGGCCACAGGGTGGGTGCTGTTCATTGCCAGAGCTGGTGCTCCATGCTGTGAGCCAGCTCGTGCTGCAGGAGCCAGGGCACGGCCCTGCCAGGCACCGCCTGCGGCACAGCTCAGTGCAGGAAACACCCCCAGCTGCCCAGTGCGAGTCCTTCGGGTAGGGGACACTGGTCTGACTGGGTGAGCCGTGTGCCCCAGGGCCAGCCCAGCCTGATGCTGCTGTCCCCACAGCCTTGGTGTCACCGCAGCTCTCGCTGAGCCCCGTCCCTCCGTCCCGCTGTCCCTGAAGCCCTCGCTGACCCTGCAGAACCTGCTGACCTCCGTCCCGCAGCGCCAGTGTCCCTCAGCCCCGCTATCCCCTCAGCCCTCGCATCTCGCGGCCGCCCCTCGTGCCACCGCGGGTCACGCGCTTCGTTCCCGCCCAGACGCGATAGGCTGCCCTGGCTGGAGCCAGGCCAATCAGCAGCTCCCCGAAGCCCCCGATGAGGCGCGGGCGGGAATGGCCCCAAGCCAATCACGGGGCTCGGCGGGGCCGGGGGGCGTGGCGCGGACCACCGGCCTGCGGCCTCTTTAAGTGAGCAAACTTCACCTCGCCACCCCAAGACCCCCTCGCGCCCGGATTGGCTGGCGGGGCCCCCGACGGAGCCGCCTCGGGCTGCGCGTCCGCTATTGGTCAGCGGCACCCGTCAGTCAGAGCAGAACTCCCTTCTGATTGGTCAGCGCGCTGCTAGTCCCGCCGCGGAGGCGGGTGCCGGCGCTTTCCCGAGGAAGGGTCCGGCGTACGTCTCCGGGGGCGCGGGGCCGGACGGGCGAACGGGGGCGCAGGGAGGGTCGGGGGGCGCGGGTGCGGCTCTTACCGATGCGCTGCCCCACGGGGGAGCTGAAGGGGTTCCCCAGCAGAAAGTCCATCGCCGCCGCCGCCGCGCCGCGATCAGCTGACGCCGCCGCCGCCGCCGCTCACGTGACCCGCGCGCCGGCCGGGGCGGGCCCCGCCGGGCCCCGCTGTGACGCCAGCGGCCGCCGCCCGGACCGGCCCCGCCGTGCCACGGGCTGAGTGAGGCGCGGAGCGGCCGCGGAGGAGCGGCGGCTGCTGGGGCAGGGCAGTGTGCGAGCCGAAAGGTCCCCGGTCCCGCTGGCCCTTAGCCCCCGGCTGCAGGAACCGAGGGGCTCCCGCCGCCCAGAGCCTCCGCCACTTTCTGCAACCACGGCGAGCTCGTGCAGAACACCCGCGAATCCGAGCAACGCCCAAACCCTGGAAAGACTGTGGCGATGGGTTTTTAGTTTTCCATAGCCCGGTGTGGGAGCGTACTCGTAGGAGTTAGGAAAAAATTCTTTACTGTGAGGGTGGTGAGGCATTGGGACAGGTTGCCAAGAATTGTCGATGCCCCATCCTTGGAAATGTTCCAGGCTAGGTTGAATGGGGCTTTGAGCAAATTTTTTGTGATATGTGTTCCTGTCTGTGGCAGGGGTGCTGGAAATGATCTTTAAGGTCCCTTCTAACCCAAACTATCCTATGACTACCCAGGGTGGTTGGCACGTTCTGGGACGTGCTCCGGGCCTAAGCAACTGCCCTGCCCAAGCTGAGCCTGCAATCAACCAACACCCATACCCGAAAAATGGGGACGTGTTAATACCAGCACAAATCCCGCTCTAACGCTGCCACGCCTGACATCCTGCACAGCACACTCGAGTCCACTGTATTGGTGTCAACGCCACGAACCTGAACTGAGGTGAGGCAGCAGGAATGCCCTGGTGTTACCTGCAGTGCTCCATGCTACAACTCCCTTCTGGGGGGTCCCAAGCAGTCAGGAACCTGACCGACAATTTGGGTGACTGGTGCTGCTGGAAACAGTACAGCTTGCCTGCCAAGTGAGTGAGTTTAGCACGGTTAGGATTGGATGTGTTTTGCTGAGAAACACTAAATACAAGTGGTAACAACAGCTGCAGAAAACAGCACAGGCCGGAAATGAACGACAATACTCCAGAAGTTAAAAAAAAAAATTATATTGTAAGTACAGTACAAAAAAGTCTGTGTATAATTGTAATGTAATCAGGACCAAACAGCAAAGAAATAACAAAAATATAAAACCTGCTAAGTCTTGACAAAGTTTTCCCTATAGTACCAAATACCACAAGATACAGATTATACAAAGTGTACAAATTTTAATAAAAATACAATACACCAGGGTTGTTTATGTTTTTCACTCTTCAAGAGTTTTCTGTTGTACAGAGGACAAAGCTAAAGCTGATCCCCTTCTGTTTCTTCAAAAGCAGATCTACCCCTTCACCACAATGCTCTCAACCGTGAAGGGCTGGAAAGAGCCGGTTTTTTACGCTGCTCACAACAGTAGATGCTTTAATATGGGCCAGAATTTAAAGCAGGACTGGACTGCCTCTCTCCTGGGCCCATCCTATTTCCAGGCTCATTGGGATTTGTCCTAAGCTGTTAAAACATGTTTCTGGCCTGGTGGTCTGAGAACCTTCTGCGCCTCCTCTGATGAGAAAACCCCTCGCTGCACTGAGAAACAGACTACCTTGTATAGGCACATCTGGGGAATACGTGGCAAAGAGGCATGGGGAGAAAAACCCTCCTCTACACCCCAGGATTTAATTTACTTCTNTAAGAGACAGACTACCTTGTATAGGCACATCTGGGGAATACGTGGCAAAGAGGCATGGGGAGAAAAACCCTCCTCTACACCCCAGGATTTAATTTACTTCTGATTTGGGACTCAGCCACAATGAGGGACAGCTCGCTTTCAACTGTCCTAAAAAACAGAAGCTAGACTCACTTGGAAGTAAAAAATGCCTCTTCTGTAATTTTAAAACTTTCCTGTTACAGAGCTGATAAGGCCTGAGTCAAATGGTATTTCAGTTGTTCTGCCTACCTTCGCAAGATAGCCTGTTTCTACACACACTTAGAATCTCCCTGGTGTTGCCTTACACAATGCCCATGCTTACACAGAGTTGATTCCTGCAGGAAGTGAGGTGAGGCAAACTTGATTCACATTTTCCACACTGTTGGCTGAGGGAGGAATTTTTGCTTTTAAATTATGTATATATATATAAATATATACACACACGCACACAGAGAAATATACAGGATAAATTAAAATCTGTTACAGATATTGGTAAAAGTTAAATACATGTGATATGAACACCACATACACATACATACATACAGACAAAAGCCTAAACAGGAATCAAGTGTTCTCCTGCCGCTCCTCTTCCAGAGGAACAGAAAACCAAACTCCAAGTATGTGGCTGGAAGGAAGGGAAACCGGTCCAGTCAACCCACATGTGCCTTACTTGGCCATAACTGCTTCAAACTGGCCACTGGCCACTGGTCACTGCCTTGCAGCAGCACCACAGCTACTGCAATAGTGCTGGTGAGAGGGATGGGGGATGAGCCATTTCACAGAACAGGTACAAGACGGGCAGAAACAATCCAAGTTTTCTCATCTACTTCTCTAGTCCTTTCCATCAAAGCAGGCTGACTATGTTGTGGAAAAATCAGCAGGAGGTTCATTCTCTCAAGCCAATGCAATGGGTTGATATATTGTGCTAATGATGATTTGAATATGAGTACCCAAGGAGAAATTAAACTTGTCATCTTCTACTTCACTTCAAATGCCAGCTACCAGACCAGCCAGCCGACACTGACAACTTTCAGTAATAACTGATTGAGGAGTAGAGGCTGGAGTTTTCCCCTCAAGAAGTGGATTTTAAACAGAAAGAGTTACAAATAGGGCTGGTGAAGAATTCAGTTCTATTCCTTGGTCCAAAATACATTATCATCTCTACCTGCCCACAGACTATCAGAATACTTTAGTTTAGGCAGGGATATCAGGAGATCATCTGTTCCATCTCCCTGCTAAAAGCAAGTCCAGCTAGAGAAGGCTGCTCATTCAGTTTTTGAGTATCATCAAGGAAGGAGAGTCAAGAACCTCTCTGGGCCACCTGTTTCAATGACCTCTCTCGTGGTGACAGCTTTCTTCTTTATATCGAGAAGTCCCTTCTCTGCTTGCTTCCCCCACTAAATCTGAATTTAAGGCGAATATCTCAAAAGCTTTCTGAATTCTTCATACAAAATACCTTCAGATTGGAGGACATTTCACCCACCAACACAAAAGGGTTTTCTCAGCTTAAATTCACAACTTTTCATAAAATAGAAGTCAAATAGTTACAATCCTATGTATATACTATACACATATAAAACTTAAAAAGCCTCCACATGGAGCCCTTCAGGAGCGCCGGTGTAGTGCATGTACACAAGTCAGTTGCACAGAGGTTGAGTACATCCCAGGATCCTTTCCCATCAAAGTCCAGGCATGATGTAGGCAATGTTGTCTAGTGTGTTTGACTGGGAAAAGAAATTTGGTGGTTTTTAGTGTCAGGTAATAATAACTCGAGATCCTTAAAAAATGGCACAGGTGAGGGTACTAAGCACAGTCACTTGTGCTACAAGTTATCATACGATGAGGCAACCAAATCTGCCTATTGATCACTCTAATAGGGTGTCAGATGGCAAAAAGAAGTGCCCTTCAGTTTTTCTTGAAAAATGTAACAAACGGAATTCTGAGAGTAGGAATCCTTCTCATGCACATCAGAAAAAAAGACCCAGCTGTATGTTTTTCAAACGCAGTGTTTCAGTAAGCTCAAGCCCGTGGCTGGATAGCTGAAGGAGGCCTTAGGAACAGCACCTTTAACTGAGAGATGGAGGAGCTGCATCTGCACCTATTGTGATTCTAGAATTTAGCAATGCCACCTACTGTCCCAAATATAAATTGCAACACAACCGCTGGGGTTTATCCGCGTCTCAGAACACCACTGTCGTTATGTATCTGACTGTGAAAATCAGATTTATCATCAGCTTCTGAACACTGGTTTCCAGAAGTGAAGGGTAGCTGCCATAATTCACCTAAAGCTCCATTGCTCCTTATAACAATAAGTTGATCGAGTTTCTAAAAAACGCACCACTGATCATGTGATGTCACTGCTCTGAATAAACTTGGCAAGCAGAAAGGAAAAAAAGCATCCGAGTTTTTCCATGGCTTAAGATGGGAACACCCCACTGACTCAGCTTTTGTGCACAGAGCCAGTTTGTGGGTGTCCACAGACTAAACTGTCAACTTTGTTCCTGTTGTTGACAGTCTATTCTCTTAACAATTAAACATTTAGGCTGCCCTATTATGACAAGTCAATTCATATCCCATTTTTCTTGCCCCCTCTGCCAGATTTGGCTTTAGTCTCTTAACTTCTGCAGACTGTACTTTTAAATTTTTGCTCCTCTCCTTTGCTGCTTTATTCATGTCTCCTGTAGGAAGTACGACTCCTGATGGCAGCTGCCATCTTAATCTATGTCCACATCAGACTACATAGATGCCATGAGCTGTTGCTAAATCAGGGCTCAATACTAAGAGTAGCTTAAAGCAGAAAAGAAACTGTAGTTATGCAGCTCCTTAAAACAGACTATTTTTCTTTCCTCAGAGAAGTTTTCAACCAGTTATAAAAGGTCCTACACCATCACATTAGGAATCCTGAGATCACAAATTGTGTTTTATGCTACTGAAGGGAAAAACAGTTTGTGTGGTACAGAGAAGCTAGAAGGTGGGTTTTATTTTTATAGAAAATTAGAACTTTCATAACTGGTATACTTTTATTTGATTCAGATTGATTGACTCCATCATGACTAAAACGGGACCTTTGCACACTGCAATCAATGCTACAAATACTAGGTCAGTTGCCAGTGGGAGAAAAAAAGTTGCACAATATTGTACAACGGTAATATCTGTAAGAATTTCAATAAATATTCCTCTATAAAAGCCCATGACTAAGACAAGTTTTCTTATTGCACTGGAATTATAATAATGTTACACTGATTAATCAAAAAAGCTCTGTTTGGACTCTACTGAAATTAACAGTGCTAGGAAG